AAACTCTCTTAGCTGAAGATGACTCCTACCCTGCCAAAATTTATATTTGTGTCTCCTAGTCCTACTATTCTCACTGTTAAGTGTGAAAAAAATGAGGCATCAACATTATCAATTCCATTTACAATCTTAAACACTTGAATCAGATCCCCTCTAACTCTTCATTTTTCAAGATAAGATTTATGAAATCTTAATCCCTCCTCATATGACAACCCCTCCATTCCAGACACCATTATAGTAACCCTCCTCTGAACCCTTTCCAATAATTCAATATCTTTCCTAAGGTAAGGAACCCAAAACTGAACACAATATTCCAAATGTGGCCTAACCAGTTACCAATACAATGATATTATAACTTCTTTAGACTTGTATTCAATAATTCTGTAGGTAAAACCTAAAATCCTATTTGCCCTACCACTAGCAACAGCACACTGTTTGGATGGCTTTAGAGACTGATCAACTGTCGCATCAAGATCCCTTTCTTTCTTGATACTGTTAAGATTATTCCCATCCGGATTATACTTATAATGCAAGTTATGATAACCCATGTGCATTATCATCATCTGCAAATTTAAGTAATTTACTGACCATTCCTTAGAGGACTTTTAATTTATAACAGCAGCATAAACACGATTTGAAAGGAAATACTGGTGTTAATTATTAATAAAACAACTATGTAGTTTGGCAGATATTACTACTCCACTGATATTTTAGATCTTATTCAATATGTAGACATATCCTGATCACAATACATGAAACAGTTGCTGAATATTTCTTGAATTGCATTTTCAAATACATAATACCTTGTTAAATGGCACTTTGACCTCGACTCATGCACATAGGGTCAATAGCTTGTGATGATTAGTAAACAAAGAACTTTTGGAAAGACAAGTCTATGCTGAATATCAGTTAAAAGAACAGAAATGAATTGTATTATAACTATACAGAACTCTTTGTACAAAGCATACTGTAAATAACAAAGTTTTATGTAATTTCTTCTATACAACTTCTGACAGTTGCATACTAATTAATGTTTCCAGTGTTTTCCACAAGCTTACTAATTTATATACCTTAGCCTAAAATGACCAAGACACTTAATATCACTGACTTCTTTTTTATTTTTCAAATTTTTTTGCAGTAGCACTCTTGCAATAGGCAACATGCATTACAACAGTTATCCTTTGTAAGCCACACACAAGTGTAAACATACATATCTAATAAATATATCAAGTTTATTGTACTTCTCTTATTTTAAAACAAACGATTTTGTGTTGAATAGCAAATAAACGGAGTTGGCAAACGCTTTCTCTGAAACACCATGCTAGATTAAGAAAGATCAACTAAATTAATAATCGTATGCTTAAATTGAAAGATGCAAGGCTGAGAAAGGTATTGCAGAGTTCAGGAATTACTACAAATATTTTGAGGTGCTCCGTTACAGTTCAACACACACACACACACGTTGAGGGTCTATGTGTCCGGTGTTGGAGAATAACGAAGCACTAAAGAAGTTCAATAGACTTACATTCGTGGATTTATCAAAAATTACTATATAACAAGAAATAGATTTTTTCTTTTACGTCAAACTTCTGGAGTTGATTATGACAACTAAGCTACTACAGCAAGAGTTTTGTGCATTAGTTGAACTCAAATCTTTAACAGTATTACAAAAAAAATAAAGTACACATTCAAATATTATCCAGGGTTCACTGAAGCATGTATTAAATATATGATTGGATACAAACACCTTACCTAATGAGTTTATTTTCAATACGTTGCTTGCATATTTGCACTTCAGATACAATATTTCGATACAAAGGAAATTTCTTCATAAGGGGTTTAATAAAAAGTAACAAATTAATTTTATTTTTTCTTATAAAATGCAGTTTTCAAGTAGATTCACCTTGTTGTTTACGAATTAAAACATTCATGTAATATTTTCAAAAAGTTTTTTAAAAAAGGGTTAAAACGTTTGTAAAAATAATGGTTTTGTTATTCCTAATATTGCACATAAACTTAAAGCTCATCAACACTTGCATATCCTTATATTTACTACAGAAGATTACCACATCTTGTATGTCTCACTTTGATAAAATCTGATGGTTCTGTATGAAAATTTACAAACATTATTGTGAATATATTTAAAAAAGTGAAAACTTTTACAAGTATAAGAATGAGCTGAGTAGGATTATGCTGATAACAAAACACAATTATGTATACATTTGTAAAATGTTTCAAAGTTTCTTGTTATTATTTGCAAAAGGGGAATTACTCTAGTCAATTAAACTGATAAAATTTTCAATACAAATTTCCATGACAGAAAGAAAAAAACACGAATCATCTTTATAATATTTTATATTAAGCATAAACTTCAACTTAATTCATTTCAATTGTCTTTAATCGTGGTTTGTCAATAAAGTTTCCAGTTACTTCTTCAATAGTTAACCAGGTCTTTAGTTAATTATTACTCTCCAGTTACCAAACAAGGTTCCTCTTAACAAACGACTATTCTCAGTAAAAAAAAAACTAATATGGATATTAAATGTATTTAAAAGAATGGCAGTCTTTTATTATTTTCAAAGCAATTAGATTTTGTTTGAACATAAGCAAATTCCAAGGTTATGCCAACTCAAAGATTTTCAATTAATGAAAAAATACTTGAATTTTGAATCAAAAGCACCTTTGTTTTAAGTTGCTTATTTTGAAGAATAATTGATTACTCAATAATGACAGATTTCGAATACACCAAGAACATGGTGAATAATTCATGTCAATTCATTTGTTACGAAAATCCATTAAAAAAAACAAAAAAAAAAACACCTAGAGAGCAGAAGTTTGATAAATTGTAATTAATTTTCTGGACTCTTTAATTTATTTAATACTTTTTATCCTGATCTGTATGTATATTAAGTTTAACAACCAAAATTCAAATTTAAGAGAAAATATTTTGTAACACATACTTGAAATGAAGTATTAATAACTACAGTTTTTTTTTGTTTTTTTTATGGTTTCTTTCAGACTTTGGATTACAATGAAGCATGGGTTAATTTGTCACCCAACCTATGCAAGTGAATTTCAAATGAATTTTATTTTTTCAATACTGTAGAAGGTTAGTCTAAGCCTTCTTGATTCAACTGGAAGTACAATTTCTAAAATACAGACACTGCAAATTAGAATAAGTTTTTGCAGAAACCAAAATTTATATGGGTAATTACTGAAATATTCAAAGATAAATTACTGGCTTTAAAATGATGATAATAATACATACATATCAGAATCCAGAAGAAGTTTTCAAAATGAATGTTCAAATTCTTTGCTTTGAATGTATGTGCTGAACATGGACTATTGCAGGGTTAGGAAAATATGAAAACTTTTATAACTCGGGTATACATAACATTTCTCACTGTCACAATAGTTTAGTTACTTAAAATTCTAAACAAAAAAATTCACAAAATCTAAATAAAATATCAAATATTAAAGAAATCAACTTATTCCCGGACATGCACTTCATATAACTATTAGTTAATTTAACAAATAATACACACCTATCTCATATATTGAGGTATTTAAAACATTTCTGTAACGACTGGGCAAAGTATTAATAATAATAATAATAATAATTTCATTTATTCATTGAATAAATTAGTCATAATAAAAATTATGGACAATACTAATATGTTTTACAACTTTATCCTAACTAGATGAAGCTTTAATGATACAACTGTAATGTAAACAGTCTGTTTAGAGCTTTGTTTAATACCTTTAATACTTAATATTTCTATAATTATTTGAAGGCATAGATCCTGCAAGTTACATTAGATTGGTTTCATTAGATTGCTAAAATCAAAAATAAAGTGCAAAAAAAAAAGAAAGGAGAACTTCTAACTAAATGTAAAGACTAACACTAAATTTAATGTCCTGAAATACTAGTCAACTAAGTTTCTTTTTTTTTATAATTTTTTTTTCAGTCAAAGTATTTAAAACAATTTAATGAAGATATCCTCATGAAATAATTAAATAAGAAATCACAGCCACCAGTTAAACTAACTAAAAGTTAATTTGAAAAAAAGATCAGCAAATCAAGTTTTTAGAGGCAAAAAAACAAACAAACATGAAAGGAATAAGATATTACTTAAGAACAAAAAATAAATACTAAGAATGAAACTACCTCCATTTTATAATAAACAGATTATGGAATCAATTAATATTAAACAGATTACACTCTTATCATAAACTATTTTCGTTTGTGTTATTATGATATTGCAGAAACAATGTTGACATCTTTGTCACAATAATTCTCCTATGTAGATCACAACCACAAGTTATTTCTCCCACATGTGAAATGTGTGTATGGCTTACAATGGAATACATAATGTTATAAAATACATATACAGCATAACTAGGCATAGTATCTTGTCCAACATCTGGTTAAGATTAATAAGAAAGCTGGTGAAACAACAGGCTATGTCAGCACATGTCACAGAGTCTATGTACTTATTATTCTCAACAGATCTTGTTTCCAGCTGCTAACAACCGATTGCTAAAATGAACATATGCCAATATTCAAGATTAACTTACCAGACATTTTGTAAAAAAAAAAAGGAAACAATACAACTCTTAAAATGACTGATAATAAAAGACACGTATGATTTTTTTTCCTCTGCTGATGCAGTCTTAAAAACTATTTTAAAGGCATAAACAACCTGTCCCCCTCCCCAAAGAGGACTCCTTTGATGAGTTTTTGATCCAAAAATTATGTACCATTACTAGGTGAGAGTATATGTTTCCTTTTTTAGACAACTTGTACACAACCCTTAAATAAACCAGGATGAAAAAACTGTGAAAATAAATAACCCAGCCACCAAATGAAAGAAAAATGTACTTGTGAGCTGTTGAAAGAAGTCTTAATCTCAGACATACATAAACCAACTAGGTAAACTGAGCAACAAGTTGGACTTGTTAACCTGGGAAATGAACATGGAATCTGACTGCAACAAATAAATTTTTGTGGAGGTTATTTCTTTACTTGGTGAAAGTAGATTAGGATGTCGTAAGAGGCTATGCAGATATACAAGATGCAAACTATGCTTTAGCATACATCAAAACTTGAGATGCTCTTCAGTAACCTGAACATCTGTTGCAAGAGTGAGGATGTATTCCTGTATGCATGCAATCTGTGTGACCAGTTGCCATTCACCACGGATCGTGTTATATGACAGTTCAGTTCCTTGTCCAGTGAGCACTACACATTAATATATATATATATTATTTTTTTTTTTCATATGCCTATATTTTCATTAACTTATTTGTTACTTTCACACCACACACACAAATGCATCCCACAACAATCAATGTTGTGAAGTGTAGGTTCTGACATACTATGTTCTAATATATTAGCAGTCTTTATTCCAAGTAACATCACATAAAAATTTAAACAAATGCAGCTTGTACAATCTGCACTCACTGCCCAAGAATTAGTTCAATGATGCTGGGCAAAAAAATAAGTACAATGGTGGCTGACACACTGTTCTTCGTGATCCAACCTCAACTGTTGACTGTGAACTATTTACGACTGTGCTTACTAACACGAGTTTACAATCACATCATCCCCTTTACCTGATAATTTATAACATCTCGGACAGATCACACACCAAAATCAATACTTTTACTATTGTAGTCTGTCAACACACGCCACAGATGCTGGTGGTAATCAAGACTGAATACGCCTTCAAGGAATGACAGGAGAATCTCTGTATCTGTGCTAGGCTGAATAGAGATGTCTGGCATCAAAAGATGTTCTACATCAAGAGCACTTTAGATTTTATGCCTTCATGACTAAGTAACAAAACAGTAATGTGACACATTAAATGCTCAAAGCCCAGACACTGATGACGCATTATACTTACGAGTTTTTCTTTTATGAACATATTAGAAGCAAAATTTAACTTAAACACATGGTTCGTTTTCAATGTCAATTTTTCTCTATTTGTTACCATGGCATGATTCTGTTTCTAAACCTCTTCTGGCCAACTCTGTGTAGAATTTCACCTTGCTTGCATTTGGGAAGGAGTTCTCAGAAGAACCTAACCAAAAGTATGAAGTGAATAAAATAGAAAAATATTAATGTACATTTTACAATAAACTAAATTTTAATGATAAAAATTGGAAACATCCCATAATTTAAGTATTTACATTATTTTATGATAGGTATATTTAACCCATTGACTGAGGCTGCTCTAAACATGTGCAGAATTTTGGCAAGTCGTCTACCATCTGCCGAAGGTGGACTGTACCCTATACTGTGAATCACCAGTCAATGGGTTAAAAATTAGTGCTTTTCACTGTATTTTTCATACAATTTATTAAACTCTTCTTACCCACAAGTGCCCACAAAGGTTTCATAGAATGAAACTACAGCTCATTGGTTTAAGGATTTTATCATGTTACAAGCTGAAACAATAGCTTAAGCTGTTTCAGACAAAAAAAAAAATGTTAATAAAAAATGTGATTCTTTTAACTTTAGCTATGGAAACATAAGGCTATGGGTATTATTATGACACGTGCAAACTGTTAGCCTTGATAAAAATTAGTAGCTTATCACAAAATAAGAAATCCAATTCATATTTTTGATGCAGTTAATTTTTGATCCTGCATGATGTCTTAGAGACATAAATAGACTGTGTCTCATATTCCTGATGGTGCAAATAAAAGCTTATTTGAATGACAAAAATTGCATGCGTATATATATACACACACACACACATACATACATACATACACACATACTCATGTATACAATCTTCCTTGATTAAAGGGTTGTTATTTCACAACTTAAATTATTTATGTTAGTCTTCAAAAAATCTGAATACTTTTTATTGCAAGGTAAATTATGAACTGAAAACCTCAAATTTATCACCCATAAGTATCCTAATATAATCAAAATCTAGATTACTTTTCAATGCATATAGAATTGTAATAAATAAATAAACGTTTCTTATTCTCTCCTGAAGGATATGATTGTCACCTACAAAGATAGGTTTTTTTCAAATCTTAAACTCTTGAATTTCTGTCTCCTTAAATGGCATCAATTTACTGTCAAGGATTGTGTGGACATATTAACTATATCATATAGCATTCGTTTTTTGTAAATACTTTCAGTTCAACAGACTTAAAAATTGGGTATGATTTTATTTTTTATTCTTATTGTTGATTTAAATTTTTTACTAATTTTGCAAGAAAAATGGGTCAGGAAAGACCAACTTTCAATACTTTCTGAAAGTCAGTATGCACTTATACATCACTTTATTTTTTAACACTTTTATCTTTTTTTTTTCTATATAACCATACTGCTGTTCAATATTTAACACTGCATCAGAATTAATTTTCTGTATATAATAAAATCATAAGGATAAACAAGCGAAATAACTAGGTTTTTTCAGCTAATACAGGCTCAAAGTTTAGAAAAAGATGCAGAAGTGTTCTAGTGTTCCTGGAAACGTATTTAATCAAAAACAAGTTTGTTTTTTAAGAAGTTTGTTATTACAAAACGAAACAAACCAGATTAACTTGATTTTAACATGAGTCAAGGGGGATCTTTTTTACTAAGGAGTTATTGATTACCAAAAATTTTCCATTGCAGAAACAGTTAAATACAGTGTATTTAGATATATTTTGAACCATGAAACTTTCAAAACTTTTTTTTAAATTGAATACAAGATTTCAAAGCTGTGTCTCTGAGGTTGCTGCATTTCCCTGGAAGAAGTAATATCAAGGGTACTGTGTTTTTTGTACTTTGCTGTTAGAGTTGTGATACAGTGACAAATCTCCATGTCAGATGGTATTTCTAATTCATCAGGATATATAAATCGATGTAAAAGTAGTGCCAAATGGCCACATTTCAGCCAATGAGAGTTACCACAAAGTTATAGCAAAAACAAATAAATCCACAATGGGTTAGCATTTCTTGATCAACAAAGACCCCCCTTGGCTAATACGACTCATATTAAAATATCTATTTCATGATAGTAACAAGCTAATGGTTAGTTAATTTGTTGTTAAAGCACAAAGCTGCACAATGGACTACCAGTGCTGTGTCCATTTGTAGCACCTTCCCTACAAGCACATTTCCAAAGCATTATTCCAACTTATCCTTTAAATGCATAACAAAACTAGAAAGAGTTAAATCAAAATTCAATCAATAAAAAAAATTATTACAAAATGGGTCATGTAAAACAGTTTCTTTAAACCTGGGATAAAAAAGCAATCACATTCAATTATAGAACATTTTTTCTTATTAAATTTTTTATACATAGTCTTACAATTTTATTCATGTTCTTTAATATCTAAAATGCATAAAGTACAGAATTTCCTATCACGCACTTAACAAATGAAACTTTCTGTCATCTGAAATTTTTCCTCTGGTTTTAGAAGTTAGTGAAAACTCATCAGATTTGTTCCTCATAATAGTGGCATAAATTAAAAATCGTAATTTAATTACTAATATGTCAAGCAAAACAAATAAATCAGCAAACCACTTACCTTGCTCATAATCCTTTAGTACTTTATCCCAACCTGAAAAAGGAACATGCAAAAGTAGACTTATTATATAAAGTAAATGAGAAAGAAATCAATGAAGTCAAACAGGTGCTAAAGATCTAACACTTCACAGTATAATTGTAACTTGACCCTATCTAAGTTTTGTTGAATGCATTTTGTGTGTGTGTGTGTGTGTGTGTGTGTGTTAAAACTCAAAAGTATATTTATTTTTTTATGACTTAATTTTATACTTTTTTTGCTTCATTTAACACAGCTGGGAAGAGCAAAAAAACAACCTTATTACTGTTGTTTACTGTGGTATGATTTTAACAGTTGTGCTGTTAATTTTACAAAATTACACTAATGTTGCATTGTAAGTTAATGTTAAAACACTGCCACAAAAGGTTTCTATACAAACAGGTACTTGGATCGCAGTCAGTGTTAGATATCTACTAGAAGGGAGATGGAGTAGTTACACCATTCACAAATAATGAACTAACAACAGTTATACGCTTGTACAAATGATCACCACCATAACGAACAATTATGAACAAGTACTTGCCCTCAAAAGCACACTATCTTGTTTTTTTAAAAGATTCAATACAAATAATTACAAGTACAATACTTAAGAGACACAAGTCAACAAATAGCTCACATGATACATTGATCAAAATGTCATACATAAATACCTAACAGACCAATGATAAACATGCCCAAAAACTGCCTGTTACTAATTGAAATTACCAACAGTACACACGTAACTTGAGTATATTACACAAATTTAATTTCTAGCAATGTATTAATCCATAAAAAAATATCTGCACACGTTATGTCTGAAATGTACCTACCAGTGACTGCTATTTACAGGGAAAAACAATCCAAATGTGTCTCCAACTATGGGTTAGCACGTGTATCATAGAACGTACGAGCCAAACATATGCAATTACCAGTCTCGTGGCTTAAATGTCCAGACTTAATTTTTAACACTGTTAGACACTCAAAAGAAAATGTCAGTCAGGTATATGAAAACTACTTACAGATTTAACGGTGTTTACTTTTCAGTTTTATCCCAATTTAAACAGCCATACAGTCAATGTAAGACCGAACATTTTATTATTTCTCTTCGACATGCAATATTTTTATATTGATGTAGTTTTATATTCTTTTCAGTCACTATAACAAAGTCAGTTCATATACCCTTGAAAAAGATGCAAGCCAAATAATGGGTAGAATAAAAAAATATCTGAAGTTGTTTGTCATCTTCATTGCTATTAGCAAACTGTTTTACTCTCACACTAAAGTAGCACGCACAGTTCTCCACAATTGAAGGTTCTTATTGATTCACGTTTTGTCATTTAAAATTTAAGATAAATCAACAACATACACTTTTTTTTTTTACCTAATTGAGCTTGTATATATCGTAAGTGTACATACGATGTTTTGATTTTATTCATGATAACGAACCTATATTTATATAGGATTTGAAGAATACGGTGCACTGATGCTGCACAGTCTAGTCTTGTTCCTTCAATTTGCCCTTGTTCAAGGTTACCAGTGAGGAAGTATATTCCCCGAAACTGCTAAAACTCGTGGGAAAGTGACGAATCAGATTACAGATCGGGCTTCATCTTTATAAAAAGTATTCAAACTTCGAATATATTATCAAATTAATAGACAAACTACTAAACCACTGTAGACCACTAAAAATGAGAAGCTTCTGTTTCCCCTCATTCTAGCAGAAAAATATTTTAAAAGCATCTTTTATATACACATACAGTGACCGTATGAACATCACACAACTTCAAAGACATGGAGACTGTTAACTCCTATGTATATCCTAGTTTAAAACAACAGTTCAATGACACAACTTATGTACTACAATTATATGAAGTTTCAGCAGTTAGCTTTTTTCTGAGCCTGACCCCCAAAAAATATTCCATCCAACATAAAGAAAGTAAGGTCAGAAATACAAGCAAACCTCCAATGTCCAATAGCACAGTAAAAAGAATAAAGCTTTAAAACCTTTTAAGTAGCGAAACACTATGAAATTGAAATTATATGTTTTTGAAATAAAAGTCATGATAGTAATAAGATTATAAGATGAGAAAGAAAAAAAAACAACTTGCTTTTCTCTAACCACCCTTGTTTCTTTGCTAAAATCACTGATGAGGGAAAAAAAAATAATACATATGTGTAATTAAATCTTCTGTAATTGACTTTTTTGGAATTTAGTCCAGGTAAAACAACAGTTCAATAACTCAGTGTAAAGGCTTTCATTATACACTGTTTCTGCCTTTCATTCCTTTCTTTTCAGACTCAATTTTAACTAAATCAGAACTCAAAAATAAAGGTTTAATCAATATAATAATGTCCTCAGGATTACAAAGTGATCTGTTGAAATTTTTTCTTGTGAAGGAAGACCAAGTAGTAACTAAAGCCGAGACATATCACAAAATAACTATCAAAGTTAACACGTCAGAACCATTTCATGGTTTCAAGTTAACTCAGTACATTTTACGAATAGCAGTCCTTGAACTTTACATTTCAGCAGAAGTTTAAAACACCCAACACTCTCAAGATCAGAGATGCAGAGGAATATGAACACAGTTTTATCACAGTGAGCACTAACATACTGTATGTTCATTTATAAGAAAATGTTCTTTTTGTTGAAATGACAGAACAAATAATAGTATACCATGAAGAGTGGGAGAATACAATTTCTATACTGAGTAGGGTTTTAAAATAAGTATTTAAATTTGCAAAATGTATGTAAAATTTCAGTGGTGACTCGCTCGTCATTCTGGTAAGCTAATTTTGAGAAATATTCCTAGAAGTGAAACTGAGTAACCAGCTGGATAATAAAACAATTTGAAATAAACTGTATATATAGTTAAAATATTGGAAAAACTTCTACTACTTTGAAAGCAAATTTCAAAAAACAGCAAAAACAATTTGGACAAAATAGCATTATTCAATGGAAAAGTACCTCTTTTTTATTTTTAGGTAAACTCCTATTAACAGAAATACACACAACTGTATTTAAGCAATGTTACGTAAACCTCAAATTGAAATATCAATAAAAGTAATTCCAAAAAATTTTATGTTGTACATTACTACTCAGAGAAATTTGTTTTAACGTTGCAAAGGAGAAGAAGCATTTTATACCTTCATAACAACTAAATTTTCAGATCATACTTTCAAATTACTTAAGCAATTTCCAACCTATGATTCAGGTGGGAAAAAAATTAATCTCTGCGACAAACCAGACATACATCTCATCATCAAATATCCAAACATTCTCTAAACCCGATGAATATATTTTATATATTAAACAGTTAAGCACACATTTAAATTTGTAATGAATTAAAAAAAAACAATTATTAGGAAAATTATTTTTTAACAAAAAGTTTTATGTTGAGGTTATAATGCTTTACACGATACTCCACATATACTGAATTTAGTGTTGTTCTTTTAATGATAAAGCAAACTGTTAAATATTGTATTAATTTTTATATATAGGTGTGTATGCATATATCAATTAACCCATTAACTGCGTCGGGAGCAGCTCAGTTGCCGTTTTCTGACTCACAGATAAAACTGAGTTGGCATCAATCACAATAAAACAGTAATTATCATCATTCGCATAGAGTTATAGTTATATATGTGCGACTCACGGATATTTCCATCATTCGCAACTGAGTCATAGAACTTCAATGACAGAAATATCCGTCATCCACAGTTAATGGATTAACAAGATTGGCGGTTAGTTTCTACTAACTCTTCACTATATAAACTTACCTTACAATATTGCTTGGATGTTACAGTCACAGTATATGTCAATACAATTTAACCCTTTTGCTACTGCCTTGGTGGATTATACTAACCACTTGACCCCAAAGTGGCCATTGTATGTGGGGTCAGTGTTAACTGTTCCAAGTGCAAAGTGATTTTCAACTTAAGTTTAAAATACTTTTCTTCATCTGAAAATTATCAAATTTCATTTATGTAATCTCTAAAACCTCATAAATAAATAGCAAGTGTTCTTTTTCATTTTATATTGTATCCACTATTTTCTCTAACCTAATTCTATACGTATTAGGTCAATTTAATCAAACTCGTAACCACTATAAATAAAAAGGAATAAGTGAGTAGTACTATTCTATCCTGTTTAGTACTGTCCATGAAGTTCCAAAGTACTTCTCCCGAGAGTTTCTAATTCTAATCTTTTCGCATCTATTTCCTATGTTGAATTAGAAACATGCCAAACATAAAGTAATTAATCACCATTTTTTCCAATTACCCTATTAACTTGAAACCATCGATATCAAACAAACAAGCCAAGATTAACACGAAATTTATCGTAATCCTGGCCTCAGCAGTAGAGAATTTATCTGCTTGTTTACAGTACCGTGGTTGCACGAAGAATTGTCTAAAGTAATAAAAGTGAGAGAAAATATTTATGATATGACTCTATATATATATGTATAAAGTCCAGGCTGATCCAACACACTTGTTAGGTATTTGAAATTTAGCAGTATAGATGTACAAAGTGTGTATGTGCTTATGAACATTTATATATATTGTTATTATTTACTCTTACAATTAAGTAACAAATATACAGAAAAACATTGATTTCTAGTACTTACAATGTTAGGAAATTGATTTGCACTTTTGCATTGTACTGGCTAAGCCTCCTTTATTCTATCAAGTGGAGGAGGAAGACAAATAAATTTTTGTAGATTTCACAGGGGCATTTTAGAAAATCAAAAAATTATCAAATTACTATAAGGGTATGCATAAAACCACTATAATTTATAGGGCTTTCTAACTAACCTATATGTGGGTTGAAAAAAAATTCTCATTTTTGTTCAGAGCAATGACTTACTCAACAGACTTAAACATTTCCAGTAAAATTCCAGCTTTTGCCTTCAAGCAAATTACAAATGACTGTAGTTTGGAATGTGCTCTTTCTATTGGTTATAAACCTGTACTTAAGAGAAGTAGGTCAGGTCATGGGTCAATGGCCATATCATCAGCTTTGAGGACTCGCACTAAAAATTTTATTGAACTACTATTTCATGAATTTATGTCCATAAGTTTGGTATCAAACTG